TACGGAGTTCAGGGCCACGAGCTTCTTCTCGGCCATCCTTGATCGTGGTTTCCGATTCAGAGACACTTTGATGCCCACCGTCTGAATGAAAAGTGAAAAGCGATCGTCGTGGGAGCTGGCACACATATTTGCATCAGAGAAAGTCCCCATCTCCTCCCCTCCATCGCTCCCCCGGGATGCACTGGCTGCGTGTACATAATCGATGCATTAACACCTTGCATAACTCAGTGGCGGTATTAATCATCCCATTATGCGACCGTGGCTCGTGGTAACGAGACTCTTCGTGTCACACTCGATGCTTTCCACGCTCGTAACGTCGCACAGTGGCTAAAATTGCGCTGTGAGAAATATAGATCGCGGCAGGATTGTTTCCTCGCTAAGATCTATCGCGTATACAGCTTACGGGGCGCTAGATCTTTTCAATCTTTCAAACGTAGGCTTCTCTGTAACCCAACATGAGTCCAAAGTCCTATTACTATACCCATTATTTCTATTTTTTGAGTCAATTGAGTCGTTCCATTGAGCGGAAAGGTATGACGCGTAAAAAAGTGAGTTTCGCAATGGAGGACTGCTCGAACCGTTAAAGCAGAAGCTATTATATTCTCAAGGATCGTTTCAACGAGCACGAGGTGGTTAAATTACGGTTTCTACGGCCGGAGCAGATGAACGGTAACGCCTCCGTGAGGATTCCAAGTCTGACGGGAGTCGCGGAAGGCCAGTTATGGTGGATTCGTGGCGGAAAAAGGACAGGTTTATTGCCGACAGTTGCTCGCAACGGTACATACACGGGGAACGGAAAATTTCTACGAGATAACTCGGGTGGTTTTTTTTCTATGCGCGCGATTGTGCATTAGCATCGCGACGGCTGGCCGCCACCGTTCTTGAGTTGGAGACTTCAATGCGCGTCGCTACCACTAAGCGCGATCTTATCGAGAAAATTTGCGCAATCGAACAGCGAGAAAACAACGCTTTTATAGTAATAAATATCGAGTAAATTTTATTAGGTGTTCTAATGGTGTATTAGAAATAAACTCTCTCGTTTAGGGGGATTTCTTTCCACGTGGTTGGTATCTTTTCTTGGTTATTTGAAACGATGTGTTGGAGTAAGCATTGGATCGCTCAGGAAACGTAAGGATTTAGTGAATTTTAGCGTTAAATGTAATTATGGTTGAAATAAACGAGTGAGACGCGATAATGTCAGAGTAATTAAGTTCCTTTTTATGACATTACTCGTTGAACTTATGATATCAGACAAATGGATCCATTTCGATAGTGCATTTTCGATATATGCTTGAATATGTGTGAACAAGTGGTCAGTCGAGTGTGTAAATTGCAAAGAACTTGGAAATTATTTAAACAATCAGTAAAAATAAATGGTTGGCCTTTTGCATACGTAATTTATTTGATCATGAACTGGTTTACATCACACATTTATAAGTTCGAATAACCATGAATCAGCTATTAGCAATTAATTTTGATGTTCTCTATTAAATTAATCGTTTGCAGTACTTCTGATACATCTGGGAAAGTATAACAATTACTGAAAGCTACTGCCAGCCTCTCACAGCCTCTGCATGACCATCGATTATGTTTCTGACAGCGTATGACGATTACTACTGACTTCTGCCTGCCTCTGCTGGCCTCTGCTGACCACTCCTGTCACTTCTGACAACGTAGAACGATTGCAACTTCCTATTGCCTGCCTCTGCTAGTCTCTGCTTGCCTCTGCTGACCACTGCTGACCTTTCCTGATGCTTCTGACAACGTATAACGACTATGACTGGCTACTGCTTGCCCCTGCTAGTCTCTGCTTGCTACTACATGTCACTGGTGGACTCTGCTGGACTCTGCTGACCACTGCTGACCACTGCTGACCACCTCTGATGCTTCTGACAACGTATAACCATTACTACTTGTTACTGCTGGTCTCTGCATCCCTCTGCATCCCTCTGCTGGCCTCTGTTGACCCCTGTCGACCACTGCTGACCACCCCTGATGCTTCTGACAACGTATAACGATTACAACTTGCTATTGCCTGCCTCTGCTGGCCTCTGCTTGCTACTACATGTCACTGGTGGCCTCTGCTGGCCTCTGCTGGCCTCTGCTGACCACTGCTGACCATTCCTCATACTTCTGACAACGTATAACGATTGGAACTGGCTACTGCTTGCCCCTGCTGGTCTCTGCTTGGTACTACATGTCACTGGTGGACTCTGCTGGACTCTGCTGACCACTGCTGACCACTGCTGACCACCCCTGAGGCTTCTGACAACGTATAACTATTACTACTTGTTACTGCTGGTCTCTGCATGCCTCTGCATCCCTCTGCTGGCCTCTGTTGGCCCCTGCCGACCACTGCTGACCACCCCTGACTACCCCTGACCACTCCTGACCACCCCTGATACCTCTGACATGATGTATAAGTGTTCAAGCCTTGTACAATGTAAATCTATGGCAATAAATGATATAATTTAACAGAATTCTATGTGTTCTCATCATTTTTACCTTTCCTTTCCTCTCCAAATCATTCCCTTAGCTTTAAGAGACCGTTTTCCCGGTTAAAATTGGATTCCCAAAGTGCCCAAAATCAAAAATTCAAAGTCCTGAAACAATTGGAAAGTCCTGAAACAGTTGGAAAGGCCTGAAACAGCGAAAAAGTCCTGGAACAACGAAAAAGTCCTGAAACAGCTGGAAAGCCCTGAAACAGCGAAAAAGTCCTGAAACAACGAAAAAGCCCTGAAACACCGAAAAAGTCCTGGAACAGCTGGAAAGTCCTGAAACAGCTGGAAAGGCCTGGAACAGCTGGAAAGTCCTGAAACAGCTGGAAACGCCGAAAATTCTTGGAAACTCTGAATTTTTAGCAAAGTTCTGAGTTTCAGGACTTCGTAGTGGGTTCAGGGAGTCTTATAACTAAGGTAATGACTTGGAGATGGAAAGGAAGGTAAAAAATGATGAGAAGACATAGAATTCTTTGTAATTATATCATTTATTGCCATAGATTTACATTATACAAGGTTTAATACATATACATCGTATCAGAAGTATCAGGGGTGGTCAGGGGTGGTCAGCAGTGGTCAGCTGGGGTCAGTAGAGACATGTAGAGGCATGTAGATGCATGCAGAGACCAGCAGGGGCAGGGAATAGCAAGTTGTAATCGTTATACGTTGTCAAAAGTATCAGCAGTGGTCAGCAGTGGTCAGCAGTGGTCAGCTGGGGTCAGTAGAGGCATGTAGAGGCATGTAGAGGCATGTAGAGGCATGTAGAGGCATGCAGAGACATGCAGAGACCAGCAGGGGCAGGCAATAGCAAGTTGTAATCGTTATACGTTGTCAGAAGTATCAGCAGTGGTCAGCAGTGGCCAGCAGTGGTCAGCTGGGGTCAGTAGATGCATGTGGAGGCATGTAGAGCCATGTAGAGGCTTGTAGAGACCAGCAGGAGCAAGCAATCGCAAGTTGTAATCGTTATACGTTGTCAGAAGTATCAGCAGTGGTCAGCAGTGGTCAGCAGTGGTCAGCAGTGGTCAGCAGAGGCCAGTAGATGCATGTGGAGGCATGTGGAGGCATGTAGGGACCAGCAGGAGCAAGCAGTAACACATAGCAATCCTTATACGTTGTCAGAGGCATCAGAAGTGGTCAGCAGTGGTCAGCAGAGGCTGTGAGAGGCTCCCAGTAGCCATCAGTAATGGTCATACGTTGCCAGATGTATCAGAAGTGATATCTGAAATGATATACATATGTACACTCATCCATATCAATAATAAAAAAGAATTTATCTTTGTTCAATAATTCAAATATGATCAGGGGGGTCTTAAAACGTGTATTTCACAAAATTTTTCATTATAGTACCTTGCTTATGTTCGTCTACATACATAAGTCAAAAAATAAAAAATACCTGGCCAGTCGAGACTTGGAATCGTATGCCTTTTGATCGAATTTAATTTATCCAAGATCGAGAAGGCAAAGGTAGGCAAATCGAAGCATTTATTTCCCCCCCCATAAAACATGGCGACCTTCCTGCGCGCGACTTTTCGATCCCTTTTCGATCAATCGGGGCAACGAATGCGCGAAACGACGAGGAACGTAATTTACAACATCCTCTCCGTTCCCCAAGGCTGTCGATCATTAAATTATCAGGCTGCCCTTTTTTTTTCTCTCGCGCTACCAATCGGGGAACAAGCGCAGAAAGAAATGGCCTCGGTTCACCGATGGCGGCGGAAACTGTCGCCGTTCGCGCGAAATCCATTCACCGGCGACCGTTTCACTTTTATGGATATTATTATCGCGCACGATCGGGAATTGCGCGTGATTGTCGAATTCCTTTACGTTTTTCATCAGCATCGTTTCTTGTTGCGTAAGAGAGTCGACGAAACAACCCGCGCAACTATTGAAATTGCTTCTTTGGAACGCGTTTATTATTCTCAGACAACTATTCTCTAAATCCTTGAATTTTGTTTCGCTTCTTCGAGTACTATTGAGCTGAGCTCGACATAGCGAAATTTCGATAATAATCGCCCAGAATGAGTACTAATCGCTTCAATTTACAGTAAAAATATTTTCAGCCATTTATAGTTTATTTAGACGTGGTCTGGAAATCAAATTCATGAGAAATATTCACTATTGATCTCTTTACAGTAATTTAAAAATTGCTGCATCCTCCATTACCGACCGATAGCCTATCAATCGACTGTTTTACCGACCAACGCTTACCGACCGATAGCCTATTAATCGACTGTTTTATCGGTCGGTAAGCGTTGGTCGGTAAAACAGTCAATTAATAAACTATCGGTCGGTAAAGTGTAAAACAAAGATTTTTCATAAATAATCAAATATATTATAGATTAGAAATGATCTCTACTTGCATGCTAACCAACCTAACAAGTTGGAAGCTCGATGGAGACACTGTAACTCGAAATATCTCTAGTTTTTTCGAGGTCCAACTGTATTTTTTCGTTATTGAAAATTAGTGGAAATTGGAAAGTGAATGTTGTTTCACCGTTTCAGAAATGCGTTGGTTTCGTGGCCACGCCGAGGCACCGAGACTCTTAAGCCTAAGTCCTCTTCAAGCCGATGAAGACCTTGACGGAGCATCTTACCACTTTCATGCCGCGTCTCAGTACAGAGGTAAGAATCGTGAGAAACCACCAATACAATTACCTGGTAAAAACAGGATGCGACTTGGTAACTTTCGTAACACGAATTACGATCGTTCTGGGCGTCGTTAATTAGCCACAGTAATATAGTAATTTCGTCATTAATTGCATCTCTGTGAATGGGCAAAAGACACACACAAAACTCTCCAAGATATTTGTAAGAGACAAACATTGCAATTTTATAATCGTAACATTGTAATATTTAAAAAAAATTAGGATCTTTTATTATCTTGACGAGCAATATTAAAATGCTTAGAAGGAGACTTGGTTTTCTATAAAATCAAAGAAAAAATCGCTTGGCCCAACCACGTTCCGTCCTTTTATTTGAACATATTTATCTTTCTTCTTTTTGAGTTAAATGCAGATATTTACGAAGCGTTTACGAGACACAAAAGTTGCCCAATTATTTTCTGTAAAATGTTTGAAAAGAAATTGAATTTTAATTGCGTTACGCTTTAAGACTTCCTCGAGGTTTGTCTGTTGTTATGATTGCACGTTCCGTTCCTAATTATAATCTGCGTTTTCAATTTTATAACGCAGGGGAACAAGTTTGAGCAGTTTCGTTGCAACTAAATTGCCCCTGGCTTCTGGCGAAATCGTTCTTTCGTCTCTTTTCTCGTCCATCGGTTTGTCATGTTACATTTACCACAGAAATGTCCAATCTTTTATTACCGCGAAACGCTTTCTGCAATCCTTTCTAACCCCAGGTCTACTTACCCGTGTAACTCGTGGCTACACGCTCCGTCATTACCGTCGATACTCGTGAAATACAGATATCGAGCTTGCTTCCTGCAATTCGCTAAATTCCCTTTAATATTTACTTGGGGGGATCGCAAGAAGTTACTGCATCGTGTGTTTATGCAACGTTGAAAAACGATTTGCGAAATTACACTTTTTATATTAATTATGCGCCACGTTAAGCTTCTCCCATCTCGAAATTCCTACTTTTAGATAGAAATTCGATCGTTAAATATCAAGCTGTTTTATAGAAACTTTGGAATAAATTAATATATTGATAATGGTTGTATTCGTGTTCCCATAAAATGAGACATTAAGATAGTAAATTGCTTCGATCAAAATGCTGATGATCTTGAGATAAATCAAATTAATACTTTTTTGTAGGTACCTATGAGCTCTACTTCAGAAAAAAGTTTCATTTAAATATATTCACTATTGTAGGAGTTATGGTTGTTCGAAAATTGGACCACTTTTATGGGAGTTTTTCAATGTTTTTAATTTTTAGTAACATTGTTGGACATTGTATGGAAATGTTGTTTAATACTTTTTTGTAGGTACTCATGAGCTCTACTTTAGAAAAAAGTTTCATTGAAATATATACACTATTCTAGAAGTTATGATCGTTTGAATATTGGGCCATTTTTATAGGGTTTTTTCAATGTTTTTGATTTTTAGTAACTTTGTTGGACATTGTACGGAAATGTTGTTTAATACTTTTTTGTAGGTACCTATGAGCTCTACTTCAGAAATAAATTTCATTGAAATATATTCACTATTGTAGGAGTTATGGTTGTTCGAAAATTGGACCACTTTTATGGGAGTTTTTCAATGTTTTTAATTTTTAGTAACATTGTTAGACATTGTATGGAAATGTTGTTTAATACTTTTTTGTAGGTACTCATGAGCTCTACTTTAGAAAAAAGTTTCATTGAAATATACTCACTATTGTAGGAGTTATGGTTGTTTGAAAATTGGGCCAATTTTATGGGGTTTTTCAATGTTTTTGATTTTTAATACATTTGTTTGACGCGCTACGGAAAAGTTGTTTAGTACTTTCTTGTAGATGCCTATGAACTCTACTTCCTCCCAAAATTTCATTTAAATAGATTCACTATTGTAGGAGTTATGGCTGTTTGAAAATTGGACCAATTTTCGGGGGGTTTTTCTCATTTTTCGGAGTGAAGGAATAAGTTTTCGAATATTTTTGGAATTTCTACATATTCTCCATTAAAATACGCGTCGTTTGCCTTTTTGAACATTAAAATCGTCCAATCCGTTAAGAAGTTATGACGTTTTAAAGATTTGCATGTAATTTCGGGGTACCATTTCTGGTCAGAATTTATATTTTCGGTAATGAATTTTTTTCTCGAAAATGCGTAGGATTTTGCGGATATGTCTATTGACCAAAAATGATTGTAATAGACCCCTGCAACTAAAAATAATTTTTTCAGAACGATTTATTAAATTTTTTTTTCGTCGAAAAATTCAGGCACCTAATACTACCTACTTTTCCTTAAAAGTTCGTTTTTGATTTTTAGTAATTTTATTTGACGCCCTATAGAAAAATTGTGTAATACTTTTTTGTAGCTACCGATGAGCTCCACTTCAGAAATAAATTTCATTGAAATCCATTCACTATTGTAGAAGTTATGGTCGTTTGAAAATTAGATCACTTTTATGGGGTTTTGCTCATTTTTAGGTGTTAAAGAACAGCTTTCCGAATATTGTTGGAGTTTCTACATATTCTACACTAAAATACGCGTCGTTTGCCTTTTTGAACATTAAAATCGTCCAATCCGTTAAGAAGTTATGACGTTTTAAAGATTTGCATGTAATTTCGGGGTACCATTTCTGGTCAGAATTTATATTTTCGGTAATGAATTTTTTTCTCGAAAATGCGTAGGATTTTGCGGATATGTCTATTGACCAAAAATGATTGTAATCGACTCTTGCAACTAAAAATAATTTTTTCAGAACGATTTGAAATTTTTTAATTTTGCCGAAAATTTCACACCTTCGCGAATTTTTTTCTCGAAAATGGTTAAAATTTCAGGGGTATGTATAATAACCAAAAATGATTGTAATTGACCCCCGCACCCGAGAATAATTTTTTTAGAACGATTTGAAAAAAATTTTTTTCGCCGAAATTTCATCATCTACTCGATTTTTTTTCTCGAAAGTGGATAGGATTTCGGATATATGTCTATTCACCAAAAATGATTACAATTGACCCCCACAACCGAAAATAATTTTTCCAAAACGATTTGAAATGTTTGACTTTAATTGTTAATAACTTTTCACCGAAGCCTCCATCAATAAATTGGTATTCTTGATTTTCGTCTTATTTTGGCCGCTAGAGTCTCTAAAGGACACTAGTCTTCTATCCTGATAGAATGATACACTAGTAATCCTGAGATTGATCGTTTAAATCACAGTCTTTCATCTCTTTACCTATTAAACAACGCTCGTCTAATGTTAAATCGATTTCTAAGCACATGCTCTTTTCATGGTTCGATAGACATGTCCCCGGTGCGATGGGCACGCAGAAAATCGTCGAGCTCCGAGTCAGAGAGGAACTGTTACAACGTGCAGACGTCGCAAGTGACGACCGAGCGGAGTCCCGCTAAGAAAGACAAGAAGAGGATTCAGGAGGAGAGGCGACGGATCGGTGAGAAACGGAACCCGATCCTGGACCGGGTGAGGAACACCCGACTGAGCTTCTTCAAGGACAGAGACTCCGACGACGAGGACCAGGAGGAGGACGAGGACCCGGATAAGCTACAGTTTCGATCCATGTGCGAGCTAAATCGCGGTATGACGAGGAACGAGTTCCGCAGATCGGTCTGCGAGACCGACTTGAAGGAGATCATAGAGGAGGAGAAGACGCAGGCCAAGAGGAAACGACGCTCGAAGTCTCAGAGCCGTCTGCCACACCGGAAGCAGCAAGAGGAGCGTTTCTCCATCCTGGGTTTCCGTCCATCCCCCGATCAGAGGTCCCCAGGGCCGCTGAAAAGGACCATCGTCGAGGAAAACGCGAACCACTACTGCCGCAGATGGCGCAAGAGCAAGGAGTTCGTTCAGAATCACGGAAGATCGATCGATCGCGATCAGGAGGTGTCCACGGATGATCCAGCGTACAAAGACGGCGCGCAGTTCGACAGCATAACGCCGTCCAGCTGTCTGGCCGCCAAGTTCCGGGCGATGCAGGACAGGTACCTGAAGAGCTCTACCAGCAAGCTGATCGCGAAGATCTACAAGAAGGAGGGCAAGGACAGGGAAAAAAGAAGACTGAGGAGCTTCTCGTACGGGACGCTGCCAGGCCTAGAGGAGCTCCGCACGAATCCTCTGTACGAGGAACAGGATCAGGACGACAACGACTCCGGTATCCTGGACAACGACTCCGCGACCAGCTCGCTTCTAGACGACAGATGCAGCAGCAGCGCTTCCGGCTTGCTGACCGGCTTGAACGACGCGTCTTTGAATTCACCGCCGCTGCTGCCACCGCGCAAGTCCTCCTCGTCCTCCATCGTGGACGTGGAGAGAACTGCCAGGCTGTTCTCAAGCTTGGACGTCTATTGCGGCAGAAACGAGGGCAGAGGTTGCAGGAGGATCGAGGTCTGCCAGGCTGCTGATAGAGAGGAGTCCAAGACGCCAGAGAGCAAGGAGTCGTTGAGCGCCAGGTTGCCAGTGATCAGGAACAGGCCGTACACCACCGAGACGATGGTCGTCAAGCTGCCCAGGGAGAGCTCCGATCAGTGTTTGGGGATTTTCATCGCGAAAACCGCGGAATCGAGCCCTGGCTACCTGGTGGCGCACGTGGTGCCTAATGGACTCGCGGATAAAGAGGGTACACTGAGGATCGGTGACGAAATTCTGATCGTTAATGGCAAGAGGCTGCGGGGACTGAGCATGGCCGAGGCAAGGAAGATCCTTGGGAGCGGAAGCGGGTCTGGGAACGTGGATATCGTCGTCTCCAGGTACTCTGCTCTGGATCAGTCCCCCAAGAAGCTCACGGAGAGCAGCGTCGATTACGAAAACGTGAACGTGGACAACGGGCATGGGGTTATCGTCGAGAATTCGCCCAGATCGCGTTTCACGAAGCATCAGTCGAGGCATCATCGCGACAGGAAGAACGAGTGCAACAGGTCCATGTCCTCCGACAAGTCTGGCGTTAATATGGACAACAGTAGCTCCCAGAGCGTTTCGAACTTTTGCACTCTGCCCAGGAGACCGAGGAGCACCGTCTCGACCTTTCTAACTGTCGTCTTTCAAAAGGGTCCTGGAAAGAAGTCGCTGGGATTCACCATTGTGGGCGGAAGCGACAGTCCTAAGGGAAGCATCGGTGAGTCATTCGATAACGTTTATTTAATAATGTTTACACAATGTCGGTTTTAAAAAATGTTTCCGTGGGTCGAGTAATATAAATTAACTGTGTTTGATAGGAGAGATCGTTTCTAAGTCTACTGGATTCCACTACGGGTTTACTATGTATAATTCTAACGTACACGGTGGCCCAGATCGAACGATCGAACTGTGAATAAACGCAGATTAAAAAATGTTTTGTTAAAATTGCTGCGAGACGAATATAGGAACGAGGAAAATATTTGCACGATCTATTTACTCGAGATTTACTGTTTGAAATGTTGACTCGTGCGATTGCAGTATCGTGCAAGAAGAATCGTCGAAGAATATTAGTTTCTTACAACATTTTAACGAAGATTGGATGTTTCTATGATATTGTTTATTAGCACAGTTTGATCGTTTAATTTGAGAGAATCGTGTTTAAATTTCGAGGTTTCCTAGGATATCTTAGATGTATACGGTACAAATGTTTTCCCTACTTCATAAATCTTAACACATTACCGACCGATCGACTGTTTTACCGGCCAACGCTTACCGACCGATAGCGTATTAATCAACTGTTTTATCGATCGACGTTTACCGACCGATAAAACAGTTATCAGTCGGTAAAGTGTTAATACGATTATGGAACAATCGTTTTCTAATGAGCTCGATATTAATCCTACGTAACAGACTAATTTAAAGGCTATTGTTATTTCGAGATCAGTTAACATCAACGCACTAATCTCGCGACAGCATTCAACGTATCATTTTACCATAAAATTCAAGTGTAATAAAATTCTCAAAAGCCTTCAACACTTCCTGCCAAGCAACAATAGTTCTATTCGTTGTTTACGTATCGTTGTAACTATACTAACTACCTAATCACTTCGAAGGTATTTAAAGATAGGTTTCGAAATACAATTCCAATATTCTAGAAGAATTCAAGACCGTTCTTGAACTCACTCTGCAGAATAAAACATAACTTGTCTGAAAACAATTAAAAGGACTTAAAGATTTCGTTAAAAATATTATAGTTCTTTTAATTGCAGTGGTCTGGTAAAAAGCAACGATTTTCCATAGTAAATAAGAAAAAATTACACATAGTCATCCTGGTATTAACATATTATTAATACATTTTCAAGTTTAAAAGTCTCTTTTTAACAGATCCTCCACTTGTGTGGTTTTAGGTGATCTGGAATAAATAAATTTGAATTCCTTAATAATGTGCAGGCGTTAAGAAACTATTTTTTCGAGGCAACAGTCGATTTTCAAACGTAAAATTCATTTGGAAAGAAAGGGCCCAAGAGAAAATTGCAATCAAATGTATTTGATAAGTCAAGATGATGAAATTTAAGTGATTTTCCTAAATGATTCATCTCAACCCTTTGATTTGGCAAAGTTTTATAAAAAAACAACAAATGTGCTTCATGAACAATTAAATGAGAACCTATGTGTGCACTTAATTTATTCCCTGACACCATCATTTATGATTTTGTTCATTTTTAATGAGAATCCTAAGAATCTTGAATCCCCAGACTTAAATTGTTTAATTTATTATTGCCTGAATATCTTCTTGTGTGGATTACTAGAAACAACGTTGTTTAGAAGTAGTTTTTTCATATAGAAACATTTTGATCCTACAATATAGTGCTTTTTAGCACAAAACACAACTCATTGTGACATCCCAAAAGAAAATGTCTTTGCAATCAAATGTATTTGATAAGATGATTCATCTTAACCCTTTGATGTGGCAAAGTTTTATAAAAAAACAACAAATGTGCTTCATGAACAATTAAATGAGAACGTATGTGTGCACTTAATTTATTCCCTGACACCATCATTTATGATTTTGTTCATTTTTAATGAGAATCCTAAGAATCTTGAATCCCCAGACTTAAATTGTTTAATTTACTATTACCTGAATATCTTCTTGTGTTGATTACTAGAAACAACGTTGTTTAGAAGTAGTTTTTTCATATAGAAACCTGTATTTACCAACATTTTTACCCTAGAGTGCTTTTTAGCACAAAACTCATTTTGATATCCCAAAAGAAAAGAATACACAATGTGGCTATCGCTTTAAACATGAAACTAGGATTTCTACTCAAACTTTATACCATCTTCTCGTTAAATAATAGTTAGTTTCATCATTTAATCATCATATCTTTGAAACACTCACTGACGTGTCCAACAGAAGTATTTGCAACAGTCGAAGCAAATTGACATTCGTGTTTTGTATTAATGCACTTCACGTGGGCTAGGTATCCCATTGAATTTGACTAGTTAGCCCTAATTGGATGATCCTTTGATTCGTTCTTTCTTGTATGGTAATCTGGAATGCTGCAGAGTGAGGTCAGAAGAGTTATAAAGGCCTTCTAGGTCACCAGGTCCATAAACCTGAATGGGCAAGTATTTCAACGAACTACTGTCTGCAAATGAAAGCATCCAGGCCTTGCAAACAGATGTCTACCATAGTGTTGCGTACGGAAGAACAGTTTTAACTTTAATTAGTACAAATTCAGTTACAAAACCAGTGTTCAGTGTCATTAGTAGTCGATTCTAAATACCTTCGGCTACCCATTTACATATGTTATTTGAGTATTAAATGTCGACTTATAAATTGTCTATTGTCTGTATAGTTCTGTCCTTTTGAAGAATTTTAGTAAATTCTAGCTATTGCTAGTTCCTATGGCGCAGTTTCTAAGGATTTTGTGTGTCTGTGGACAGGAATCTTTATAAAATCGGTGTTGCCAGGAGGGCAAGCCGCGGAAGATGGCCGCTTGCGCGCAGGCGACGAGATTCTGGCAGTGAATGGCCACGTCTGTCACGACTTGACTCACAGAAAGGCTGTTCAGCTTTTCCGCAATATCAAAACTGGACCAATCGCCTTGCACCTTTGTCGACGCGTCAAAAACAAAGAACTGCAGTAAGTATTAATGTAGTATTCAAAGAATAGCTCATGAAAGACTGCTTTGATCTACTCTATCTCTTGCTTCTACAAGAATTACTTCATACTCTATCTAATCAACGTTAAACAATATGCAGATATCAATAGAAATGAGTCGAATATAAAAGACATTATAAAATTCGAATTTTAATTGTATTCCATGTGTTCTTGTATTCCATGATCCTTCTCCTACCAAAAGTGGTGTTTTTTTTTTTATTTAGTGCCATTTTACTAACTGGTGGAAATAGCAAATTGGAATCAGTTTTTTCTCTGACAAATAATTTATGTAAAAGAAGATTGATATGTTTTTGAATTTACATTTTGTAGAAGAAGGCTCAAGGACCAGAGTGATATATTTTTCTTTTTATACAGTTTACGAAATTGATACTTTTGCCTGGCACAATACGCCAAAATTCTGTGTTAAATGGATACCTTTGGATGTTACAGGGCAACCAAGGCCAAGTCGTGCGCAGACCTTTTACTCGTCGACGCATAACATTGTACAAGATTTGTAAAAAGAAAAGAAGCGTCCCGTGACCTCTGTAAAAAAATAAATGCGGGGCCTCTGTACATACTTGTAAATTTTGTAAAGTATTCTTGGTAATAAAATTATTATTTAATAACTTTTCCAACGTGGTGTGATTCGCCTGATACCTTCGCAAAGCAGATCCTCGAAAGCACCTTAAAAGTACGGTCCTCTTTATTGTCCTCTATAATAAAAAAATTCGCAATACAATAGATTCACGTTGTCTGCAACGTATCTGTATAAAATCTTATAGTCGTTAATAATAATAATAAGGTCAATAATAATAATAAAAATAATAATAGCGATGATACTAAATAATGATGATAATTAACCATTTCATAATAAACTTAAAATACTACGCCGCTGCAACAGCGCGATAAATAAATTAATTCAAACAAACATCAAAGATCGAAGATTCGTTCTGATAGACTAGAATCCTAAAACTTCGTACGTAGCGAACGATGACGTCGTTTAGTGTTGTATCGAAAGAGCACTTCCGGTGGGCAGGGTTCGTCCACGTCCGCCACCCCCTTCAGCATGGCGCGGATTTCTGTGTTGTTTTTGGGTACCTGAAACAACAAAAAACACGCGTCGTTGGGTCAAGCAAAGATTTAATCGATTAAAATTGATTAGAAGTTAGAAATAATTATTAGAGAGGGTATAAATTAATTTTTCTTTTAGTTGAGATTGTGTCATGAGTGAAGTTGTTGTACAGGTGCGAAATAAATAATTTTCTTTTAATTAACAGTGAAATATTTAAATAAATATGTATACAGGAAAATTCAAATACATATATGCTAATTTCGTTATTTTTTGGGGAATTTATTACGTTAAAGAGGGTACCAAATCTCAATTTTTCTTTTAGTTGAGATTGGTGTCATGAGTGAAGTTGTTGTACAGGATAATTTTCTTTTAATTAACAGTGAAATATTTAAATAAATATGTATACAGGAAAATTCAAGTACATATATGCTAATTTCGTTACTTTTTGGAGAATTTGTTACGTTAAAGAGGGTACAATCAATTTTTCTTTTAGTTTTGAGATTGTGTCATGAGTGAAGTTGTTGTACAGGTGCGAAATAAATAATTTTCTTTTAATTGACAGTGAAATTAAAGGTATTAAGTATTAGTATGGTGTTTTTTCCCCCGAGCGGTCACCCATCCCGCGCTGCACGCGACGAAATGATGCTGAACGTCGGTGATCGAGGGAGCACCCAGCACCTCCACCGCGCCACACTCGCCCACGTATTAGTATTAGTATTTAAATAAATATGTATAGAGGAAAATTCAAATATTATAAGCTAATTTCGTTATTTTTTGTAGAATTTATTTAATTTTCAAGATTCTAAAATTGATGAAATCATTTTAAAAGTTAATTGTATATTCCTGTTAATATATTTGAGCTTTATTGTCTGTTAAGTTGTTTTTTAAGATTCAGAATTGTAATTTGAAGTCAAAATTAAAGATTCATAGGAGCTCCGTCTCATTTTCAAGCTGAGATCTCTAAAAAAGTGTCCCTGACATTTGTCAGAAGTCTATGTAATATTAATTTATGTTGGTACCTGTGTCTCCTTGTGATTTCCAGCTCGACAGGACCTTCTCTCACCGCTTTAAATAATTCGATAACTTCTTGGTGCGTATAACCACGCAGAACCTTTCCATTCAGGCTCAATATCTCGTCACCTGTAACAGAAAATGGCGGTCTGCTTATAGTCTTCGTTCAAACTGAGTGAGAACTATGTAATCAATGATTCTATAATATATTATATAATATTATATAAAATTTCATGAGGTAAAACAAGTCTTATTTGTTTTTTATTAACGATGACAAACATTTTCGACCTTTCATGGTCTTCTTTTGATGTGAAAAGAGAATCTACAATACAAGAACAAATAAATATAAATATATAAATAATAAATATATATAAATATGAATAATAAATGTATATAAATATAAATAAGTCTCATTCGTTTTTTAATAACGATAATAAACATTTTCGACTTTTCATGGTCTTTTTTTTATGTGAAAAGAGAATCTACAACAATATAAGAACAAATAAAGAGTAAAATAAATATACAATTTATATCATTAATCAAATTATGTTAAATCTACTATAAATTTAGGGGCACATATTTGATATTTTAAATTTTTATATTTGATTTTGTCAACAAGTTTATTTACAGTGACACGTTGTTGAGTGAAAAATAAAAAGATGATTTCAAATAGAAAAAAATGGCGATAGAAGAAGTGAATTAATCAAATTATTATATCTATTATAAATTTAGAGACACATATTTGATATTTTAAACTTTTATATTTGATTCTGTCAACAAGTTTATTTACAGTAAAATATTGTTGAATGAAAAATATGATTTGAAATAGAAAAAAAATGGGGATAGAAGAAGTGAATAATGCTTCTCTTAATGGAATATAAATTTCATTATTTATAATTTCTGGAATAGTACTCCCTCGATAAGGTTCACAGATGGAAGTTAGCGAACGATAGCGAGGGTTCACTGTACTCGTCTAGCGTGCTTGACAGGTTAACAATAGCGGGAGATGCGTTGCTCCTGCGCTTATGCAACTGCAACGACTGACGGCCCCGTTATACAAGCGAGCTGCAGGGTGCAGTGGCACGAGGAAACCGCGGACGTTCGCGTGCTCGTAAAAACCGTCGGGGATCGGTTGAAATTCGAAACGTGTTGCATGGAACCCGCCTATATAACGTGTTTGCCGCCTACCGCCACGCGAACCTTGCAAAAATCACTTAGAAGACAAGATTATGTGTGTATGTGTGTGTGTGTGTGTGTGAAATTTAATTCGTCGAAAAAGATCGCGACATACCATTGGCCAAACACACTAATTCCACCAAATAAAAATTTCATCGTTAAAGATTAATTAATTTTTATTTTATTGGTTCCTACTTCTTATATCAACTCTAAAATATTTTATTTTTCATGGATTTTGTATAGGAACCTAATTTAATTTAATTAGGAACTCAAATTCAGAAAATAAATAAAAATTTCATCGTTAAAGATTAATTAATTTTTATTTTATTGATCCCTACTTCTTATATCAACTCTAAAATATTTTATTTTTCATGGATTTTGTATAAGAACCTAATTTAATTAGGAACTCAAATTCAGACAATTTTTTACTTCGTATTATCCAGTTGGATTATTATATAATAATAATTGTTGCACCGTTTTGTAAAATTCTGCTCTGATTTTTAAGAACGTATAATGCATATCTTTGCCAGTAGATGTTTAATTAAAAATTAAAATTCTTAAATAATCTGTGGTCCTTCCTAAAGAAGATTTACCATATTTGCAATGTCAAAGAATGAAAAATGATCTGATAATTTCATATTTACTTAACACTTTGACTGCCACGTCATCCATATATGGGTTTAAGACTGTCCCACTATGGAATTGAAACAATTTATTCCGAAATTGAAATTGAAATGTTAAATAAATTTGTACGGGACGAAGTTTAACTTACGAAAATAAGTACCGAAGACAAGTAGTTATGCAGTTTACAATTGTCTAAAATCCAAGTTTTAACCGTAAAAATTGTACGATTTTGTTGTAGCAGTCAACGTGTTAACACATTACCGACCGATAGCCTATTAATCGACTGTTTTACCGACGCTTACCGGCTGAGAGCCTATCAATCAACTGTTTTATCGGTCGGTAAGCGTTGGCCGGTAAAACAGTCGGTTAATAGGCTATCGGTCGGTAAAGTAATACTGTCCACTTAATTTAGTCTGCAACGGTACATGAGTTAGACTTCTTTCGATGGTTTCTATTGGTCGTTACACTTTCCGTTCGATTGACAAAGCGAACGCGAGTCTCTGGGAACGAGAAACGGTAGAAAAGCGCTGACAAAGCTGACAAGTTGGCAAGCGTTGTCCCAGTGGCATGTTACAAAGGAGGAGATGGGACTGTTTAGAAATGCACGCGACGTCGGGTGTCGGATTAAAGATTCGAGGTCCGTGTGGCGACCACGGCGTGAATGCACGAACGAAAGACGACGTGTACGTGACGAATCGACACCTACCATACTCGCCACTGCTAAGATTCTGATCCTCAGCGAACTATGTCGATCAGGAATCTAAGACGGATTGCGTCACGTTTGGGAACGGAATGGCAACCCGAACGATTACGCCCTAGATACGCAAACCTCTAAAAGGAATAGCTGAATCCTAGCATAATCGCTCAGATCCAGGCTAAAAGATAACTTCCAGCTAGCTAATTTAGAGCTAGAGGTAGCTCTCATAAAATCTCATCTCTTGCCCACCTTGAGGACAAAGGTTATTTTTAACTAAATTAAACGAGATTTAAACAAAATTTTTTTGAATTTTTTGCTCATAAATCGCTAAATCTACAGTGAACAAAAATTCATCATACTTTACCTTGAAACAGCGACTTGGAGACGTCAGCCTGCCCTCCAGGGAACACCCTCCTCACGTAAATCCCCATTTCTCCCCTGGGACTGTCCCTACCACCCACAACGCTGAAGCCAAGACTGGGCTTGCCATAACCTTTCTCGAATTTGGCTACGTGCCTCGTCAAATACTGTTGCTGCTCCGTGGCGGACTCGAGACTGCTTTCCGCGCTCTTGCGATCCTTGGACAAGCACGAGAGCGGTAGAAAGTCCGGCCTTGTCGCCTGAATGCTCTCCTCGGACTTGCTCGATTTATCCAGCTGCACTTGCTGCGTCTGACCGTCGATCAACGACAGGTTGGAGAGATTCTTCGCGTTTTCCAGGTACTCGTACTCCCCGGGCAGTGTCGGCGGGCTGACGTACACCTGGGGCACCGTCTCCTCGTAGGCGGTGATCAAACGTATCTTGTTATCCGTGAAGGATTTCAGGAAATCCTGCACCTCCTCCAGGGTCTCCAGGGTCCTCAGCTCCTTGCCCTCCACCTCCACGATCTCATCACCCAGCCTCAGTCTCCCATCTCTGCAGGGAACAGTAAAAACCAAAGGTCATGCAAGCTAGCAAATTGGTCATTCTTAAATGCATAGATAAGTTTCATCTATATTAATACATTTCAATTAACTTTCAAAGAAGACTTGATCTTTGCTACCAGTACTGGAGAACAATCCATACCCAATTGATCCAACTATTTCACCCTCAAGCATTAGATCTTAAGACACTAACCTAACCCTTCCAACCCATTAAATTCGCCCTACCACGTACCTGTGAGCAATTCCATCGCTCTCCAGCTGTACAACGATGTACCGCAGCTCCCCCAAGCGTTGCTGCGCCAATCGAATGCCCAAGCTCTCCTTGGGGTCCCTCTTGTGAAGCTGCACCAAACGACACCGTCTGACCCTCTTGGGCGGCTGGATGATATCGCTGAGGAACCTGGTCTTGTCTTGCTGCAGTCTCATCCTATGTGCCGAGATGCCCATGGATTTAGGCGAGCACTGCAAGCTGGTCAGCCCGTTCCCGCAGACGGGGAACTGGGACATCGCTGCGTCGTCGTAGGTCTGATGAATGCTGGGTAGCATTCTGCCCGAGTTGCTCTGATGCCACCTGAGCCCGTCGATGCCATCGTTCAGCTCGGAATTCCCTGCTCTGAGGGTATCTGTATCGGAGTTCTCTCTTGTTCTGGGCTCCTGGTTCTCGTGGTCTTGGCACTCGCTGGGCGTGGAGCTCCTGATAGGCTTCTCCAGCTCGGAGTCGACGACGCTGCTGGTGTCCGAGCTATCCGTGCACTTCAGGCTGAGCCCCTCGTTTTCTGAGGCGGCTGCAGACTCTCCTCTGGGCCCGTCGCTGTCGTATCCGGACTCGTTCGAGCTCACGTAGTGGGATGAGAGCCTCTGCTCGCCGCTTGGCGCTGAGTTTCGCCGGTGATTCCTCAGCGTGGCCACCATGTCCAGGTCCACGTTCAACGACGACGTTTCGGAGAACCTGGACTCGTTCATCCTTCCAGGGAAGTCGACTCTGTCCTGGCTGGGGTCAACGTGGTGGACGGCGCAGTTCCCGCGAAGAGACATCGGGCTGCTGTCGTACGAGCTGTAGCAGCCGTTGTCCTCCTGCTGGAAGCTGTCGTCGATCCTCTCCAGGTGGCTGGGGTTCAGACTGTACCTGTCCTGCTCGCACCTGTTCGAGTTCTTGCGGAATTCCGCGTACGAGTTTCGTCCGGACTTGGAGGCGGTGGGCTCCTGGCACTTGCTGGTGCTCCCTCTGCCCAGATTGCTGTTCCTGGTACGACGTCGTCCTAGAGTCGTCGTGCCGGTGTACGAGTCCTCTATTTTCAAGGTGGGGAAGTGCTCCTCGGACGCTGTCTTGAACAATCGTTCGTCCTTCGACGCGAACGTGCTGTGACGTTCCTCGGGCAGCACGGAGAGCTTCGATCTCAGAAAAGCGTACGGGAAACTGGACTTCTTCGACTCCTTGAAGTCGCAGCTGCTGCTCTTCCTCATCGGGGACTCGTTCCTCGACTGACCAAAATCGCAGGAGCTGAAACTCGTCATCGAGGGGCCACCCAGGGGATAAAGCGTCGAGGAAGCGTCGCTGATATGGTCGTCGAAGACATCATCGTTCTGTCTTGCCAGGTCGTCGCAGGACACAGTCTTGTCCTTACGACCAGAGATCTGGAGGTCGATTCCTTCCGAAGGATCGTCTCCCTTCACGTAGGTAGGACTCGTGTTCAGCTGGCTGGTGCTGCAGCTCCTGAACAAGTTCTCCTTCTCAGAGGATTTCAATCTATCGTCCACGTTCTGAGACCGTCTGTTGCTCTTCGCAGAGTTCAGCATACCCGTGGAACCCATGCGGATGAAGAAGGACTTGAAGGGCGATGGGGATCGGTGAAACGTTCCCGGTGTTCTCTTCTCCGATTTCGAGTCTGGCAGCGATTTCTCCATTTTTGGAGTTAGGTTGTTGTTGTTGCTGGTGGTAGTGTTGTTGTTGTTGTTGTTGTTGTTCCCGTTGTCGGATCTCTCGGATATCGAGCATATCGTCTCGCGGGAACCTGCCCGCCGGAACGAGTCTATCTTCTTGCTCATCCTGCGTCCCCAGATTCCGAAACTTGAGCCTAGAAAAGGGTACAGGGGCATTGGTTTGTTTAAAGTAACGTACTTGGTAAACGTTAGTAATTATATGAATAAAAATTATAGTCAATTAGACCCTATATACAGTAAGGTAATTTAGAAATGCGAATATGGAAGTTATTCATACTCAGATACACCAATCGAAGAAGTAAAAAATACTTTGCTATTTGCCTTGGGGATTGAATGAAGACTTATTGGTAGTTTCTAGGAACCCATAGCTAGAGAGACAGAAACATAACTTGAAATCTACCATAAATATTCGAAAAAAAATACTGTTTGAAGTGCTTTATTTGGAAGTACAGGTATCCTCTGATTTTGGTGACCTAGTGATTGATTACTGTAGTGTTTCCATAAAGCAATATTTTCTAGAAGTATTGTAGCATCCAGGTCCATATTGTAACATCCTTTTATCGAGAAATGATGTAAAGTGGACGTAGATACGAAAGATTTCGTGGAATCCTTGGTGAGCGAGCGTTCGTTTAAGGAGGCAGAAAGAAGAGTCGGTGGCAGAGAGATACCGGGCCATCTTGAGGCACGAAAAACCACCCAGGCGACATATGGTCGCCCCCAGGAACGGTAGCAGAGAAACTCGAGCAACAGAGACGAGCTGCCCCAGGTGGTTCCGCGTATTTTGGGACTACTTTTTCGAGCCACCCCGGTTAACGGGGCCTCCTGCACGATGAGGAACGATTGTCAGGCCGCTCAGGTATCGGGTACACGTGTTTTGCGATAGCGCACCACAGACTACCGGGGTTATGGCCTCGTTAACGCCACACGTAACGTCAACTCACGCGGATACGTTCACCTGATTGTTTATACGCGGTTGGATTCATTTTCGTGAAATATTGCACAGCAAGGCCTCGATTGGACGGCGAATTAAATGCACAAGGATCGCAACAGGGGTCTTTTTGGCACTGATCTATTATTATATAATCGATGACCATTTTTGGCCATTCTTCTTGCAACCTATTTTTGGTGTTCGTCCACCATTGTATGACAAGTAGACTCTTTTCTAAAATCACTATATCTTCCGTTCAAAAGATCTCAACTACTCTGTTTCCCAATAGAGAATGAAAAGAGGAATGTAGAAGGTATTTGAAGCGTTCCATTTCAAGATAAAATGCAATTTCACCTAGAAAACATAGCAAAATGCAATTGCACCATTCATCTGTTTGCTCTATCAGTCTTTCTAATCTTCAACGAAACAGGAACGATCTTAATTGCGTGACTTATACTGCGTACACAAAATTAACTCGCTAATGCTCATCCAAGGCAGTGAAAGATGAGCAGTAAATACAGTTACATATATTAGTAACTGTCAATCTCCTTGATCTACAGCCGTGTCATGAATCATAAATAGCGTTATGGGGCGCTATGATCTTCCCTAGTAACGATCTCTACGGGTATAGAAAATGATGGAACCATGACCTGTGATGATGACCCATGATTTGTATATCTTTACTAGCATGCCCCGTCACGGCTTCGCTCGACCTTGTTCAAAAGCAATTTATGACCAGACGGATCGTCCTGACATATATATCCGCGATAATGCAATTCTCTCGCGAGAAAGCGCTCGAGAAGCTTCGCCACCTGGCGGTAATATCGCGGTACTGCTACGGGCGAGGTATCGCGCGGGCCGAATACGCGCATGCGCGCGCAAGTAGACTGTCGTATACAGGGGTCACGTGGTCTGCCAAACAGTCGATCGCATGAAATCTTTGCATATAAATTACATGTTAATAACGCGCTTCTGAGACATGCTACATGGCCTATGCCCGTCCTAGAGTATGCAGAAATATCGTGTCAAAATTTGAGGAAAATCGGTTCAATAAAAACGATATTTTAAGATAAATCTAACTTTTCCATGAACGTTCATTGAAAGTGACAAATATTGGAATCACTGACCACGATCCAACGGTAACAGATATTAGAAGAGATTAGAAAATCTAAAACCTACGATTTCGTAACTTCTGTGCTCGATGAAACCCGTACGAGGCCAGTGCATTCTAATTCTAATATCGACGAATTAATTAACACCGATGTAATCGAGAAACTTGAGCGACACGGTATCGATTACTCATCGGACAGACATCGATATCAACCACAATGGAGAGCCGATATTCTTCGAATCAATCTTGGAAGAGAAAATAGGAAAATTCGTTATAAGTGCACCGTGACAAGTGCCTTACACTCTCATTAAGGTAACGAGTAGCATCCGCGGCGATATTTGCATGAGCGCCTATCAGCGTCCAGCACGACCTCAATGACGCGTCAGAGTCATTGCTTTATCGTTGATTAATTAGTCCCTTAATTAATCAACCGCGATAGACCCATTCGATGCATGCAATACGTAATTACAAGAAGACCATCCAGGATGATTACAGTTATTCTCTATTAATAGACGTCGAACTCGAATCAAAGAAATTTTGGCGCTGTCAATTCTTATTTCACATTTAAAAATTCGAAAATGTTTTTTCCTTGTCAGGAGTAAGATAAAGCAGAACAGGTAATAAATTGCCACCTAAAGGATCTCGTATTGATCTATAGATCACTCTCAGAATGTACTAACTGTAACACACGTGTTAATTAAATCCTATATATTAGTTATTAACACTTTACCGACCGATAGCCTATTAATCGACTGTTTTACCGACCGATAGCCTATTAACCAACTGTTTTATCGGTCGGTAAGTGTTGGCCGGTAAAACAGTCGATTAATAGGCTATCGGTCGGTAAAGTGTTAATAAACGTTAATTAAAGTAATATATTCGTTAAATCGAGGTGGTGAATTTTCCCCCGCGAGCCGCAAATCGAAACGTAGTTAATGTTAATTCACTCACCGTGCGCATTTCCGGGAAAAATGTGCACCAATTTCCGGAAATCTCAAATTACCAACGCGTCAAACCGACTGGAACTTTGTCAGAGACCCCGAGTTTCGTTTCCATCGTCAGAAATACGCTAGGCAAACAAAATCACCGCGAGCTGTCAATTCACCCTGATTCAATTGCCCTGACACGACGAAACCAACCCTCCCAGACACGGTATACGGTTCGCGTGGCTTTTGAAATCGCGATAAATCGGGGAACGAATTTTTACGGGGCGCCTGTCGTCGTTCGTAACCGAGGAGCAACTGTTTCCAGAGGCAAGGATGACGGTGACGACGCGTTATCCGCAATTTAATTCTAGAAGGCACCGTGACACGGCCAGAACCGTGGCCTATTAAACCAAACCTGCGACGACGTTTTAAAAGCCAGCTCCTCGCTTTGATCCGGTCTCCAAATCCCCCGTGAACGCTAAATACCGCTAATGCCAACCGCGAATTCATCGTGACTTCGGGATCTCTGCACATGGGCCTGAGCTGTGGGAAAACTGCTACGATACTTCGTTTATGCTCTACGAATCGTCCACTCTTGTCTCTGGTGTCAAACAAATCAATTTATTGGGTTCTTTTCAAAGTAATTTCATTTTGTTCAACGAAACAAGTTTGTTATAATATATATGTCGAAATCCATCACAAAATTTTAGTTATCAAATTGCATATTACTTCACGTTGTCTCTATCGGTCGGTAAGCGTTGGTCGGTAAAGAAGTTGATTGATAAACTCTCAGTCGGTAAGCGTTGGTCGGTAAAACAGTCGATCAATAGGCTATCGGTCGGTAATGTGTTAACATTTGGATGTGACCTTTGAAGATAGTCCAGTTGGTTCTCTGACTATCGAAACGTTTGAGAAAAGGAAGTATTCGAAACAGAAAAGGACAATTTTCGTTTAATATTCTTGCTTGTTAATAAAGTGTGTGTTCTCCCAGTTATTAGTCGATCGTTTATCTAGTTAAAAGTTTCAAACAAAGGCTTGGATGCCTGAGAGGAGCTAGAAGGACGTAGAAGTAGAGCAATGGCTGATGAAGACACATTACACTGTTCTCCATCTGCCTTTTCCACTATTAAACATTGTCAACTTATTCCAACGAGCTGTTTTAAATTTCCTACCCCTCACAAGATGAAAAGCAAACTTTATCTTCGTACAGAATGTAATTGCATGTACGTAAATAGATTTCTCGAGGCCCAAGCAGCGTAGAATTCCTTCCAAGAGATCTACTTACTTTGCATTTGAATTTTCCTTTTTACGAAATGAAAGATTGTTTATTTGCTAATTAAATCTAGTGATATTTTTCATTTTCATGAGAACCGATTAATAGGCTACCCGGTCGGTAAAGTGTTGAGCGGTAGAAAACTGACTTATCGGCTATCTGTCGGTAAAAAGTCGATTAATAGGCTACCCGGTCGGTAAAAAACTGATTTATCGGCTATCGGTCGGTAAAGTGTTAAGAAGGTGTTATTATGCATGCGTTGAACTGCAGAATGCAACACAGTGACGAGTGCATACCGCGTTTTAACAAAGCAAACACAGCTCGGGGCCCGATTAGTGGAAGGATGCGAAGTTCGATCGTTAGCAACCGCTTTTCGGTTCTGGGAAGAAATCCAACTGTGAAACACAGAGAGCAACAGTACTTCGCGATCCGTTGCTACGAAGCAAATGACACGAGAGTCATCAGAGCATGGTGGTCTGTTCGAGGGCACTTAGGCTCGCCACATCAGGAAGCGGTGTCCTGCGTAGGCAGTCGAGGAAGAAAGGAACTACACGTCACGTCGATACTATCTCCTATTGTCAGCTTTCTTTTGTTAAATCAAAATTGACGACATAAATAAGAAATTGAAAACAGAAGAATTGTTATTTGCTCATAGCCATTTTGGACATTCTGGTGTTTCAATATATTCGTTAAAAAAATTGAATTCTTCGCAATATATGGAAAACCAGGTAATTTTAATCATCTTAAACTTTTGAAATCTTTCCAAAAAATGAAACTTTTTCAGAACAGAATAATCTTTGTTTGCTTATAGCCATTTTGGACATTCTGGTGTTTCAATATATTCGTTAAAAAAATTGAATTCTTCGCAATATATGGAAAACCAGGTAATTTTAATC